ATCAGAAATCGATCTTAAGGTAGCTATGGCGTTCCAAAGTTAAGCTCTTCTATGAGTACTAGTAAGCTGACACTTTTTTTTTAATCAACTGTAGATCTAATGATAAGATCTTCCAATAATATTGTTATACAAGATTCATTGTTCTGCTTATATTTACCAGAATTGACAGGCTTTGGTTGATAGATGTGCATCATAATTAACAAATATTTCTAATGAAAAAAAAATATATCCATCAGCTGACGTAGAATGAGGAGATGTTCCCTAAAACAGTCTTCATAAACGTTGAATCATTTGTAACTTTTATCCTAGGCAATGAATTTGCTTATTGAAATATGGATGATAGCATCATTTCAAGAGTAGCAGAATAGAAGGAGGAGTCAGTGTTATCTAAACACATTATCACAGAAAGCTTTCTTAATTAAAATGGCTTTCGCAGTATATGTAAACTCGAAAATAAATTTTCAACTCATTTAAATTGTTCCAAATCATATACACACGATTTAAATAATTAAAATAAATATGAAATTGAAATAAAATTCAGTACTTTACATATCGTCCCAAATATAAGATAACAATGAATGTTTACGTCATAAAATCCCTTGATTCTGTTCACAGTTGACATATATCTGTGTATGCGGCATGTTATAGTCGGAGTCAAGAGTCAACACAGAGACTGTTTTCTGGACAGATGAGTGTTATTTATTATTTTGACTGTCTCTGTTTGTGAACTGCTAAATATCCATACCATGAAACGATGAGTCTAGGCAAAGCTGAAAAAGAACGCTGCACGACCACTGATTGCTTTGATTGAGTGGCGGTGCTTTCTTTAAAGTTTGGAAATCAAGGAATGGCTGTGCGACGTATCACTGTGAAATAAAACAGGACCCTGGCTGATTAGAATTTTTCAGGACGAGAATTTGAGAATTAGACCACACATTTAATATGAACTTTTAATTTTTATCCCAATTTTCTTAAAAATTGGGGCGTGTTGGCGGATCTCTGCTTACATTATCATTGAAATTACAATGTATCTATATATCGCTCATAATTCTTAACGAAATTTTCACATTGTTATTGCCAATATGGATATATATAAGAAGAGGGGATTCTTCTTATGCAAAATATTCACAGTTAATGAATTTACAACTATATACACTACTGCTGCTATGAAATGGGGTGCGCATCCCAATACTTGCTGTACGTGGTAGTTACCACTTTTCACAGGTTTTCTCCAAATACTTTTTAGTTTGACCAACAATTTTTTTTATGTTTTATTTGAAAAATTCGCAGATTTTCACTGTCCTAATACATGTACGTCCAATATTTAGTTCTTGACTCGTTCGATATTGTCATTTTGCAAAATGGGGTATCTATAATATTCTATAGAATGGCCGGTGCTGAACAGTTCTAAGATTTCCCATTTTCTTAGCATTATTATCCTCTAAAGTTTGCCGAGATCTTTTATTTCAAATACGAAATAACATACAACCTGCCGATTGTTATAAATTGTAATTTTCTTTGTTTATCTAAGCTTTTCACCGCTTTAAAAAACTTGCTGTGATATCGTGAGGTCACCTATCAAGGGTCGATCACGTCAGACTGTTTCGTTTATATTTTGTTAAGTCGTTCGATTAATATTTCATGAAATGTGTCGACTAATATTTTATGAAATACATAAAATGATAATACAAATTGTAAGTCATATAAAAATCTTTCTGTTTTCATAATTATAACGGGTACACGAAGACAATATTTACAGACGTATTTCATCAAGGTCTGCTTTCTCCACTTAAGAATCATTTTCTCCATTTCCGAGTCATGTGAATTCTCGGTCATGCATGCATAACGTAAAACAAAAAATGTCTCGGAACACATGAAAAGTTCATCAGCTCGGGAAATATGTAAACAACCACAGAAATTTTTTTTATTATTATATATAATAAATTGCAGTACACACTAAAAAAACAATTAAAAAAATAAATAACAAATAACATAATTATAACCGTTACAATTTATACGCACGTGAAAAAAAATAGAGAATATGAAATTTAATATCTTTTCCTTCTATTTATGTTTTTCTTATCTTAAGTATCAAAGTCTTTTATTATTGGGATGAGGGTTGGAACTGGTTGTCCAGTGGTTTCAGCTGTACTATCTCCCCTTTCATCTACTATATTACAGAAAAATTGATTTTTTAACCCTTTTTAATTACGAATAACAAAAAGGGAATAAAAATGAGTTTATTAATATAAAAAATAATAAAACTAAAGTTGAAAAAATGAGTTTTTACAAGGTGAATTCTAGTTCTTTAATTTCTTGTTAAGAAAACTAGTACTTTAAAAAAAAAAAGTTAAATATATGACGGCAACTAGGTTTGACTTTTAATATTGAGTTTTACGTCATCTTCCGTGTCATGAGGTAGGTGAACGGAGATTAAATACACTTTTACAAGATGATTTATTAATCTGTGTGAATTTAATTGAGCAATAATCATTATGAGTGTTTTCTGGCTTATAAGTGAATACATGTGCAGCTATTAATGCATGCTTACCTACAAGTTTTATATCAGCCATGCTGAAGCGAAAGCATCTAAATCTTTAATGCGCGTGATTCATAATTTTGTTTGTCGGATGATGATTAATGATGATTTTCAAAATATTTTCTTGAATACAAACAGAAAGATCAATTCTTCATGACCAGTGTAATCGATTAGTTTTTGTGCTTTGATGTAAAGAAAATGACACAAAATATATATGAAACTGACCATGTAGACGGCCTTTAACTGATGGCTTCACTGTATCTAGATGTATAAAAAAATTTAAAGTACGCCTGTCCTCTCTCTTTTGGCATGTTATCTTTTTCCTACTTAAAATTTGCTTTTCTTGCCGCTTTTTATTCCACACTCCACATGGCTCTTGTGCTATTAATAGTGCTTCACGACTTTTAATATAAAAGGGATAACTCTAGAATTTGATTCTTACTGAGTAAAATGTATAAAAACAAAATACCAAATAACGAGGCAGGGCACTTTATGAGGGGCGGGCAAGGATGACAATCAAGATGTTAATTTTATCTGGCCATAATTGTATTCATGAAAACGTTTAGAATAAAATTAATTAAAAGATTACAGCCTATATTGCATATTGCATCAAAAAAAAAAACTCTGTTTCTCACATCGGACAACCCTGGCTAACATTGGGGATAATGTGAAAATATTTTTTCTTGAGATATTTTGTTTCTCTTGACATCAATATCATATTCCTTTCAAAAAAAGATAGTTTTTGCTAAAAAAAAAAAAAAAAAAAAAAAAAAAAAAAAAAAAAAAAAAAAGGAATGACACTTTGTGTAGGGGTGATTAGACCGAAGAAAGTAAAAAAAAAAAAAGAACATACGATCCAAACGACATACACTAGTAGAAGTAAAATACTCCGTGATAAAAACAATAAATTTTGCAATTATACAGATAAATGGCGAAATACAAAAGTTGCAGTTATAGTAAGGACGAGTGTATCTGTTACAAGACAGTTTTAAATGGAATTTATGGATCATTGCAATTTAGTAGATTATCTGTATGTATAAGTATGTATATATAAGTTTCAAATACTTGTTTCTGGAATGTATGGAGACCACGAACAATATTCAAGCTCAAAAGTCCATTAAACAATACAAAATAGGAGCAGAGCAAACACGGACCTCCAAACATTAGAGGTAGGATCAGGTGCCATGGAGTAGTGAGCATCCCCTGCCGACCGGTAACACCCGCCTTGTGCTCCTTGTCATGATCGGAGAATAACGGAAAAATCCGTCGACAATTCAGTGTGTAAATAATGGCCTAACAATTAGTATGAAAAACGTCAGGCAGCATTTGACTCAATGATAAATTGTATTTGCTGACAAGGTCATTGTATCGACCATAGAACTTACGAAATGATGACTTTAAACGAGACAGCTGGATCATACACGTTGTTGGTAGAAGCACTAAAACTACTCTGACAAGACACTGGACAAATTGTGGGAGCCAGCATGTACAATGTAATGAAAGGTACTTGGATACTGGGAACATTACAAGAGGCCTATAGGCCACAACTCTCACCTGAGTATCTTTGCCCCTAGGCCTGCGGTTTTCACCAGACTTTGCCCCCTTGTAATACCTTTTGTGGCCCCACCCTAACCCCAGGGTCATGATTTTAACAATTTAGAAACTACACTACCCAATGATACATAAGTTTCAGCATTTCTAGCACATTGGTTCTTGAGAAGATTTTAAAAGATTTTTCCTAATGTATTTCAATGTAAAACTTGGATTCCATACTGTGGCCCCGCCCAACCCCCGAGGGTCATGATTTTAACAATTTAGAACTTAGACATCCCAAGGATGCTTCAACATTAGTTTCAGCTTTTTCTGGCCCAGTGGTTCTTGAGAAGAAGATTTAATAAGATTTTTTCTATATATTTCAATGTAAAACTTTGATTCCCTATTGTTGCCCCACCCTACCCCCGGGGGGGGGGGTCATGATTTTAACAATTTAAAATCTATACTACCCCCAAGATGCTTCCACATAAGTTTTTTTGGCCCAGAGGTTCTTGAGAAGAAGATTTAATAGGATTTTTTCTATATATTTCAATGTAAATCTTGGATTCCCTATTGTGGCCCCTTCTTACCCCCGGGGGTCATGATTTTAACAATTTAGAATTTACACTACTCCAAGATGCTTCTTCATAAGTTTCAGCTTTTCTGGCTCAGAGGTTCTTGGGAAGATTTTTTGATGGCCCCACCCTATTTTTGTCTTTTCTTGATTATCTCCCCTTGTACAGTGGGTTTGGCCCTTCATACAATTGCCCCAGTGGTTCTTGAGGAGAAGTTGAAAATGTGAAAAGTTTACAGACGGACGGACGGAGGGACAGACGGGCGGACGACGTACATGGGGTGATCAGAAAAGCTCACTTGGCTTTCAGCTCAGGTGAGCTAAAAATGAAAATTGTCAACTTCATCACTGATAATATAAAATCCAACATTTTTCTCATCTTTTTTAATCTCTGTGTGTATTTTCGGGTTGAATCGTCTAAAGTAAGAAAAATACATCTGTATTTTTCTTGGGAACATTTTATATGGTCATTCGAGGAAAACCTCTTTTTGTATAATCAGTCTGAGATTGTCATTTTATGTTGGATCTGTGTTCAACATATACCCATCCTCCATAAAATTAACTGTGAATCTCGGTATCCCTGTTTCCTGTAAGACTTATAACTGAAAAATGTTCGTCCTTTACATCCGTTGTGCTATTAGTCACATAATCAAGATTTTTAGGGCATTTTAATTCCTCTTCTTGGTTTCTCATATAACCATGTCTGTAGTTGTATTTTTCCATCCGTTCCTCATGTTCATCAAAAAATTTGTCGTATTCCATGATTTCTTTGACCGGAGGAATGTACCCCAATGTATCACTGCTTGAAGATCTTAACTCGTCCCCTGAATCTAATACTTTCTCTGATTGGCAGACTACTTGCTTGTGATCTACTAAAAGAAAATTAAGAAAGATTTAAAACATCTTTACCCTGTCGGAACAGTTACACACATACACACCACAAAATATTTATAGTTATGTATACATTTATATGAATTTCCGCAAGGTTGTCATTTGTAATTCCTTTATCAACGGTTTGTGAATCAGGGAATGCCCTTAATAATTATATGAAAAGATATTAGAAAATTTATTGGAACCTGGAAATATTTCAGTTAGAATGTACTAGATGAATGCATTATACAGAACCCACTATAGATAAACTACAGCTCCATGATAACAGAGAAAAAAAAATAAATTAAATTTGGAACAATAATGAATAAAAGCAAGTTGATATTTCGTCCAGGTAGCCACATAAACACCTACAAGGCTTTATATCCTACACGTCTATAAATTTCATTACCCTGTATTATATCTAATTCAGCTCTGTACAATGAAAAATAAAAGATGACGATTCGTTATCAAGCTCAAAAGCCCATTGAAAAATACAAATCGGGATCATGCAGAGTAAACACGGATCTATGAAAACATCAGAGGTGGGATAAGGTGTCATGGAGGAGTAAGCAAACCCCGTCAACCAACCACACTCGCTGTGTGATCCTTCTCATGATCCGCTAAACGGAAAAATCCCATGGCAATTCAGTGTGAAAATAATTGCCTACATGCATGTATTAAAACGACAATCAACATTCGACTTCACGATAGATTGTATTTGCTAACAAGGTCATTGTGTGTAAGTTGGATTACCACTCGCAAATTAAATTTAAGTTCCTCTTTAATAACAATAATAATAAACCTTAGAAAAAATGTCAACTTTGTTACCTTCTTTGTCAGCTGGGATTAGTAAATATTGATAGTGTAGCCTATCTACATATACATGCAATTCTTTTTTTTTTCTCTTCTGAATTATTCAAGACAGAAGGATACATGGTTTTTTATGTTTTAGATACTAGTAATAATTTCAAAATTGAACTGATTCATATTACCACATAACAGAAGTTTTTGATCTTTCATTAACAAATCATCAAGTGGAAAATTTGAATCACGTAATGTTGATGAAATGCTGCTGTGCCCGCTATCTTCGCTGAGTTGTCTGGAAAAAGGCGTGTCCTTCACATCACGATCGGATTTCTTAAATACATAAAGATAATAATCTCTATAACATTATAAATCGCTTCGTAAACAATAATTGCATTAAATATAACGAAAAAGTTGTAATACCTAATAAGTAATTTATATTAATTATAATCCAATAATTATTACATTTATATTGTCAAAACAAATCTAACCTCTGCTTGTATAAAGGAGATGTATTCCTCTGCTTCACTCGGCTCAATATAACGACTGTTTTCTTGATTCTGAAATGATCATAATTTTCGGGGAAAAAATCAAGATATTTTAATCTAAATTAATTAATTAAGGTTTAATAGAGTTTCAAAAAAGAACACTTTAAAAGAATAAGGTTGCAGAAATATTAAAAGGGTCATAAAGAGCGAGTTGGTGCTATAGAGTTTTTTTTTTTTAGCATGCAGAGAAAACCTTTACAAGTTCATATATGGATAGTGTACTGTTTTTATTTTTCTCTTTTTTTCTAATATTTAGAACCAGGATTAGTTTTAGTCTTTACAAAAAAGAGTTCCTTCCGGTTAATCACTCAAGGCTAAATACACATTGTCATTTGCAACTCATAGTTAGACCATTTTACCTCTAGCCAATCCATGAATAAAATGTAGAAACTTTTCAAAGATTTCATAATTATGCAGCTCTATATTGTTGACACATTTTGAGCTTTTCTAAAAGATTTTTTTGAAATTTTACTTTACTTTTCATCTTAATAGTATTTTACAACATGTTTACGCAGAAATCGTAAAAACATTCACTGATGTATACAAATTACATGTATGTAAATGAAATCCATGGGAGTGCAGTTACTTATATGTACATGTAGTCCAACTGTTTAGAAATTTGTGATATAAATTTAAACCATTGTCTTCAGAAGTTGAAAAGACTGTATTAAACTCAAATATACTTAAACGCAAAAGAAACGCAACGTCCTTTTTAAAGGGAGAATTTATATATAGGCATCTTCAACTTTGCGAAATCAGTATATAATTTAACGGTTGAATAATTTTCATAAAATTACCGAGTTAAGCTTGAGCCTACTTAACTGTAATCAAAAACTGCATGTTTAACAAAACATTCTGCATCAATTTGGGTTTTCAAGGGTTTGTACCTTACATTATAAGTACTGCAGCAATATTCCGAAAAAATTATCCTTTCTTTTCCTTAGGTATGCTAAGGCTTCCTCAAATGACTTAAGTACGCATTTCCATTGATCTAGCTGGAAATTCTCAAAAAAAAAAGGTGAAGGAGAGTTGCAGATGCAAATATTCACTACATTACGCCCCCCCCCCCCAAGGCTCTTAAATGATGAAATTCTAAGATATTTAATTAATAAAGAAGTATATACAGAGGAATTCATTGCAGCTCATTGCAGATCAGAATACTTTTTTCGAGTAACACAGAGTAAATAATTCTTGATCTCGAAGAAAGCATGCTACACTGAGGTATACACATGTAGCTTCGCTTGACTGCGTTTAACCCTCTTCCCCACAGTCACGCATTTTAACGCATATACCATTTCCTATTTCTAACGCAAAATCACGCATATACCGTTTCCCCGCATTCACGCATTTTCACGCACTTTCAAAAGTAAATTTAATCTTCAATTTAATGCCAATTCCCTTCTAATTTATGCTTGAAATCTCATAAAATAAGAAAAGTTATAATCTTATTAAAATATTATGTCATAATTATTTACGCTAAACTTTAGAGAAACTTGTACCTCGCTATAAAGTGCTTGCGGGGAAAAGGTAACGTCATATTTCTATGACGTGAACATTAAGTGTATGTAGAGTCACAGTTCAGTAAGTTGTAAAGTTGTACTTTTAGAGAGTGCAAGAATGTGCCAATCAAACGCGTCCCGAAATTCGTAGTTTCAATAATTTCCAGAAAAAAATAATTTTTTTTAATTATATTTCCGTGTGAAATGTTATAGCAACATTTAAGTCATGATATTATACATAAAATTTAAGAAAATATTAACTTGAAATCTGTGTCTTAGCCCCTTTAAGTTACATAGAGTGCTTTCTCTTTATCTTCTCTAATTCTATATCAAAATGAACATTCAATAAATACCATATTAACAGAATTTTAGCGAGGATTCAATTTTTTGCATTATTAGCCAGCAAGGATTTTGAGATCTGTAAAATTGAATATTGCTAACAATTTAAACCGTAAGAATTGTTATAGATATCTTTCTTGACATTATAAAATCGCTACAATTACATCTCGCTAAAAATATTTAACTTTTCTTGATAAATCGCTAAATTTGCATCTAGCTAAATATTCCACTCATGCGATATAGATAATTAAGTAAAACACACAACCCAAGCCGCCTATAAAAATAGTAATGAAAAAGACGGGTTAAAACTGTAAAAGCGTAGCGCCAGGTGGATTTGCACCAAGACTCTAAAAACAATCCTGCTTTTAATCTCAGCGGTGTAACATTCTGAGCTAGTCTAACTATATTATATGATTGTTTAAATACGAATTAGGTTGTCTAAAACAAGTTTCCTATTTTTTTTTTTGGGGGGGGGGTGTTCGACCCAAGGTAGGGGTGCCCAAAAAATCCCAATTTAGATTATTCCTTACACAGGAAGAAACTAGACCTTTCAGTTAAAACTGAAAGGCGGCTTTCAGTGATTTTTCAATGGCCATTCAGTCACTGAATGGCAGGTACATTTCAGCGACCTTTCAGCCACAATTCGTACCTTTCAGTCACCATTCAGTGGACGCATTTCAGTTATCTTTCAGTGACCTTTCCGTCGTCTTTCAGTCGCTTTTCAGTGACCTTTCCGTCGTCATTCAGTGACCTTTCCGTCGTCTTTCAGTGACCTTTCCGCCACAAACTATCATAATTCTGTTTTGGAATAGGTATGCTCTGAAGGACTTTAGGATCATAAATCATGCAAAAATGGGTACCTTAGCGGGGAAAATGTTATTTTAGCCAGCTTTGAGTGTAAATTTGCAAATAATAAATTCTAATTTCAAAATTCTAATTTGAAACATCTACACATATTAACAATTGAAAATAGGTAATGAACGACGATTTTGAAATGTAACCTTTTTTCAGGGACATATTGCTCTCTAATAGGTAAATGCTTTTAAAATTCAAATTAAAACAATTCTTTTAATTTTAAATATGCTGACAAATCAAAATGCGACAGGCAGACAAAGGAACACCTGTGAATATATTTTCATCCTCAAACCTTGAATTGATAAGGCAGAATTTTCACAGGCAATTGATATTTTATTATCTGACATTATTTTAACAATTCATGCCTCTAAAATTGAAACTTTTAAGCGAGCTCGTCAATTGTCACTCAAGTTACTTACAATTTGCTTGCAATCTTCAATTTGAATAGTTTGGATAGGAAATTCTTCTTGGAAACCTAGCTTTCTGATTGCTTGCCTGAAAGATAAAAGGGAAAGAGAAAGACTGTGGCATTAAAAGATTCATGCTTCTCAGCTTTACTGTATCAAATGTAAATGAAACTTACAATACTATCAAATATCTACAGACAAATTATTTTATAAGCTTTATGATGAATAAATCACGTTTCTTTTCACAAACCTGATAATGCATACAAGACCAAATATTGCAAGAATGAAAAGAAATCCACTCCCAGCAGCAATAAAAGAAATATCACGAACTGTCAAATCTGAAAGTATAAAACGAAATTTTCTTTGAACATATGTCACCGGTCTTTGATGACTTCCTATATGAGTGAAAAATTCTTGCAAGGGACCTAAAACAACAACCAATCAATCAACATTTATACCGTATCCTTAAATTTCATTATTTATGATTGTTTTATTTTTAAAAGATATACTGTTGTTGGAAATCTAAAAACAATGGACCTCTTGATGGATAAATTGATGAAACCAAAAATAAATTTCAATATAAAGATCTCTTAGACTTGAGGAGAGAGAGAACGTTAGCAACAAAGTTTAGGAGGGAATATTTAAGAAATTGTATCTATATAAGCTTGTCTTGTGTGTGTGTGTGGTTTAATATGAATTTATTTTTGCTTTAGGAATAAATGAAATTGAGTTTTTCTTAGAATTACAGTTTATTCTTCTCCGCTGATATGTATATGATTGTTCCCTGTCCCACAAAATATATTTGATTTATGATGATTGAAATGAAACCAAAACCTTCAGGATGAGGAGCATTTGAAAGAATTTCCCATATTGGCTAATATAAGTAAAAGGTGTGGTTCCGTTTCGTTAACTTTTTTGAGAAAACGTTCATTAATATCGATACATCAACTTATTTGAGTTCATAAACATATTTTGCTGGATTTTTATATAAACCAGACTACAAAATGAAGCTATACTGGTTTGTTCTCATAATAGGGCAAAGCGGCAAAAAAATGTAGACTTCAACAAATTTTTAACAAGTCTAATTGATATCAAACCAAACCTTAAGAATGAGTAGAATTTTAAAAAGATATTTTACAAATCAATGTATCTTTTTTATGTGTCGTGGCTATTTTGGTCACAAAAATTGTTACAAACCGAGAAACAGAGTTGTGTATCTTGGTGTAGGCCAATTTTATGTTGAATCGACATTCAAAATAGATACTTTTACAGAAATTTCTATTCCTACTCACTTTGGCAACCTTTCATTGAAAAAAAAATTGAAATACAAATTATAAAGCTTGGTATGATAACTATCTATTTCTGTTGATTAAGGGGTAAAAATGATAATGAATAGCATTTGAAAAGTATTTCAAAGATTATTCTATTTTTAGTAACCCGAATAAAACCGTATCGACAAAATATTATTTGGGCTTATTTTGCTGTTTAAATAGAGGAACTCGTAAGTTGTAAGAACATGTTTCCGATCCTATTGATTATTACAATAAAATATGTTTAAAATAAACAAAACAAAGGTCTGTGTATAAAGTTCTATAAATTCAAAAGATATTTCTTGCCATTATTCTTTGGAATTCCAATGATCATATCACTATATGAAATATTCTTTCTTAAAGATACTGCAGCAACCCATATGCCGTATTTCTTTTCATCCTCAAGATCATGGATTGTGTACCGTGTCATGCCGTCGGCAGATAGACTGACCTCAGCTTTGTTCCCTGAAAAAGAATTGCAATGTTTTGAATTTTACATTTGTTCAAAAATTGATTGATTGGTCATTTCTTCTGTAAAAATTTATACTGCATAAAAAAACATTCAAACTTATTAAAACAGCAGTTCAGCTTTTACACCTTGAATTAACAATATTTTTTTTCACCTTTACAATGATCATGGTTGTTCAACCGACAATATTGTATTCTGTATGACTTAACGTAAGCATTTTTTGCGCTTGTCCTATCGCATTTGACACGAGACCATGACACAGCAAGACTGTCATCTGGAGGAAGCGGAAGTAGTCTAATATCTGATGGCTTCGGCATCACTGCAATTAATTAAAAGGATAAATATGCAGTTGATTTCTGCTTCCCAATATGTAAGTGCAAAATGCCTGATACTTAATTTTTTTATGGTTATTGGTTGTTGCAAAGAATTTCATAAAATATACTCAATAAAAAATACATGAGATTTTCAAATTAAGACATGATCAGAAACTTTGAATTTAGCGCAAACCAAGTAAAAAATAAGGTTTTATATTTGCCATTTCTTCATGAAGTACAAAGTTTAATGAGAAAAGTATAAACTGATATGGAGCAAATATTGAAGCAAACGCAATATTTTTAAATACGTTCTCAGATACATGTAGTTTTTTTTACCCGTGTCTTTAGTGTATCTGCATGTTTCCTGCCATCGAATACCACTACTTAAATTTTCTCCATTCAACAGGGCAACACCAAAAATGATTTCACCAAACGAATCATTTATGTCTTTTTTGGAAACCAGCACGTGATTTCCGGTAAGACTGGTGTCTTTTGGTAGTACGTTTATTTCACCCTTAAAATTGCAATGAAATAGAACGAATTTAAAATGTTAATACTTATCAAATGTGTACAAATGCTAAAGATAATATTTTGTGTAGGAAGAAATACTTTCTCTCAACTCTTCAGAGGATTTTTTTTTTTTAAATTAATCAAGCTGGTACATGTACTGAAAGATTGATATTTTTATATTATTCCTACCCGGCATTTTTGAACAGCAGCCTCCCCTTTGCACCAAATAACATGTATTTTTGAAACACTCTGAGATGCAAACGAAGATCCAAACCAAGTCAAACTCATTTTATCACCACCAGCTTGCTCCACTATCAACTTGTCTGGAGGGTTTAGTTCTAAATATTAATTCGTTAAAATTACCAAAAATTAGAAAAATAACGCAATATATTTAAATGGACAGTCAGGTAACACGATAAAAGCAGGATTGAAGAAATATTGAAATCAGGAGCTTGAGTTTAAATTTCCAGGGTTCTCCACAAGGAGTTTTACCATGGCAGCCGGTCATGCTTAAATTTATGTGCGCCAAGGTCAAACGAGCTGCACCATGGTTAAAATCGGCGGCCGCCATGATTAAATTTTTATAGCATTTCAGTATTGACACTATATCATTAATGACCTGAGTAGTTAATTGTGTTTATACCACGACTGGCAAGCACCTCGAGGGAAAGCAGACTGCTAAACAAACACGGTCGTTGATTGGCGAATAAATCGTGAAGCGTGACAATTGGGAATCAATCAGCGGATGATCAATATCTTGAGAGTTAAATTCGGAGAATTCCAATGTTCATTATATAATATAACAGATTAACAAAAGATAAAACAAAACAAAAAATACATATTTGAAATTCTTTTAATTAAAAATGCCCCTATAGTTTTAGTTCAATTTTGGTACATTTAGTACTCTTGTAAAGTAAGACATATAATCCTTTTCATTTTTTTATTTTTATTTATTTTATTTCCTTTTTGCTTTTATGCGTTTATAATTATTTTTTTTTGGGGGGGGGAGGGGTTATTTAATTTTTTTTTCAATGGTTAAGTTTTGTGAAATTAATCATTGATTAATGAAGCTTAGATAGTCTATTACGCATGCGTGCTTTTGATCACATTTAGTTTTCACGAAGTTTCCTCTATGATTAAATTTTTAAATGTGGAGAACCCTGAATTTCTTTATATACTTTCAATTGTGTATATTTTATTCCGTTGTAGAAATACTTCAATTACTACGAAATAGATCCTCTTGTATATTGATCAATATTATAGATGCTTCCTGTTTCATCCATATCATCTTACCCTTATTATCCCTTACAATGATAGATGAATGCGGCGAACAACCAGCAGAATTACAACCTGTAACACTAATATTATGACGACCTTTACATGGCACCAGCACGCTTCCGGAGAGATTTCTCGCTCCAAACGTATGGTTCTTCAATCCGTCAGAGCTAACGATATAATTGCGTATTGCGCCATTCTGATACATTTCTGGAATTTTCTACAACAAAGTATTGCTTACCGTTTTATTTGTTTCGGATCTTTATTTGCTTTATATATATATATATATATATATATATATATATATATATATATATATATATATATATATATATATATATATATATATATATATATATATATATATATATTTCTTTGTGTATATTTTTAGTTTTAATGACTCCAAGTCAATGAAAAATTACAGTTAGAGACTGTAAGTGACACAAGTATTGATACTCTAACTCACCAATTTCTTTTTCATTCAATAAAACAGATCAGAGGTAGGCAGTCTTCATTATTGCATTTATATCATAAATAAAATGTTTAATTACTTGTTTAATGTTTGAACAAAGTTAAAATTATCAACACTTTAACGAGATTGTTAATTGAAATCTTTCTTAAGCTAAGCAGAAGGTTTTGAATTTTCAAAGTAAATGGTCTTTCGAAAGATATTTCCCAAGCGACTTCACATTTTCATTTGAATTTTAGGTCATAAAAGCTTCAGTTCTTATAAAACTACACTTTTTTGTTGAAAACTATCATAGATAATATTGCAATGCAGGAAGATTTGTAGTATAACACGATACCTTCCAATATATCATTACTGAGCGATATTTCAAGGGACTGTCACACTTTGCAGACAAATAACCACTGGATGAAAGCCCAGGTCCATTCGTGGGAGCTGTCATTAAAATAGGTTAAAATTTAACACTTAAGCAATATCAATTTGTTTATAAACTTTCAATTTATTTAAAAAAAAAGTTATTCAATTTTTTGTCATCTACAATAAGTAACGTCCATCAGTTTCTTTATTTTAACAGATTATCTTTGTTATATCAAGAGTTACAGAACTTCGAGGTATCTGATGCGTAAAAAGCTTCTCAACGAGTAAAATCAAGGAAAATGTGTAAATATTCTGATTCATCGATCAAAGTTAAAAACCCCTAACAAGAGATTTTTTTTTTTCAATTAGATACATATTACCTAATCAATTTAACATAGAGGCGTATGAGCAATTATGTTCATAAAAATCAATAACTATTTTTTGAAAAAAAAATGATCGAGAGATCCATTGAAATATTCTTTATCAATGGGTGTTTTAAAATACATATTAGGTTACTAAGCAAATCTACGAGCAATTGATATTTCAAAGACTTTCAAGAGGAAATAACTCTTATAATTAACAATGAATGATTATTTCAAAGAATTCTGTCCAAAATATTTCTCAGTTCAATTTGTTTATTCTTATCATTACAGCAACTCATTATAAAGGCATGAATTAAGTTAAATATGTACTGAAAATATCCCCCAAATGTACATTGAATACCTCAATTGATCCATAATTTACTAAGAAGGCAATTAGACAACTTGGTTTGCATAAATGTTTATCAGGTTTACCTGTCATACAAGTATTGAATTTAGCCGTTGTCAGATCACTAAAGTAGATACCCCCAGTCGGTTTTTGTTGTAGATCTAACTCATAGGCAGAATCAGGAATAAGGCCACAAATCATTGCTGTTTTGAACCTGTCTATCTCATTTACCTGTAGATAGTTCAAATTATTATCAATAATGTAATCGTGTTTAAACAATAACTAATACCTAATTTTACTTACAGCTTGGAATGAATTCATTCCTATACATGTAATTTCATGCATCACAAGGAGAGAAAACAGAATTATTGTTTGTTGCTATTGAAACTATTTAAGCAAGGGTTTCTTCATGTATACGGTACCAATTTTGATGCACCAGATGCGCATTTCGACAATTTATATCTTTTCACTATAGTGATGCTCATGCCGAAACATCGGAAATCCAAAATATTTAAATAAAATAGTCTGTAGAGCTGAAAAAAGTGCCAAAGATTGGAACCAAATACGTCGAAGGATCAGAGCTATACATAAGGGAGATAATCCTTAATTTTCAAATAAATTTCTAAATTCATCTTATTCAATGACAGCATAAGTAATTTCAAAAGAAAACGATTTTTATGTAGACACATTGTTAGTGCTTGTGTATACTTTTCTTAACTTTAAATCATATCCCATTTTTATTTTTTCCAGTCTCAATGATTTTGAAAATAAAATTGATTCCAATATCAAAGTGAATTATTCAAAAAATTCTTTTTGATCAAACGACAAGTTTAAAAAAAACTTTTACCATTGATGGGTATTTTGAAAAAAAAAAATTATAAAATTTCAAGACAGGGTATACAGAAACTTTCTTGAAATGTACCATTTATATCGTTTGTCAGTGCTGTCATCTAACAATTGGTCCTAACTAGTATCATTTGAAATTTAAAAACACCTATTGATTCCATTCAAAAAATTCAAAAATATATGAATTTGATAGCAATATTTGGCTTTACTATTAACTTTTTTATTTTAATGTAAAATTGATATTAGATGTAATACATGTATAAATGCATGGCTAAAAAATTGTTGAAGATCACATTTTGATAGATGGAATCAAAACCGAAAGAAAGCTTTTTAATTTACTGTTAATTTAAAGAAGAGGAAAATATTCTGATTAAAAATTTCATATTTAAAGCCATCATCTACCAATTAAGTGAAAAATTTCCAAGTTCCTCAGCAATTATTATCAATTATTCAATGAAGGTAAAAACGATTTCCACCTTTGAAATAAGAAATAAATTCAGTATCTATCTTAAATCTACATGTTCTGATCCTGAGTACATACTACTAAAACAAGAGGCCCATGGGCCACATCGCTCACCTGAGCACATTGGCTAGGCAAAAGCACAAAAGCACAAATCAGTTCAGTATTGAATAGGTTAAGGGGGGGGGGGGAAGGGGGGGGGATACCTGATGATGCTTCCATGTCAATATAACAAATGGCTTTGTTGTACTTGAGTAAATTTTGAAAAATTTTTCCCATATAATCCTTTGTAAAAATTTGATCCCCCATTGTGGCTCCTCCCTATCCCAGAGGTCAATATTTGAAAATTTGAATCTACACTACCTGAGGATGCTTCCATTTCAATATGACTAAACATAGCTTTTCTGTTCTTGAGAAGAAATATTTTTTCTGCATGTTCTTATGTAAAACTTTCAATCCCCCATTGGGCCCCACCCTACCCCAGGGGTCATCATTTGAACGAATTTGAATTTACACTATCTGAGGATGCTTCCATATCAAAATGACTAAACATGATTTTCAGTTCTTGAGAAGAGGATATTTTCCTATATGTTCCTATGTAAAATTTTCGACCCCCCATTGTGGCCCATCCCTATCCCCGGGGGGTCATCATTTTAACAAACTTGAATTTACACTACCTGAGGATGCTTCCATATCAAAATGACTAATCATGGCTTTACAGTTCTTCATCAGAAGATATTTACCTATATATTTCTATTTAAGACTTTGATCCTCCATTGTGGCCCCGCCCTACCCCAGGGGGTCATGATTTGAACAATCTTGAATTTACACAACCTGAGGATACTTCCAAATAAATATGATCAATCAGGGCTTTGCTGTTCCTGAGAAGAAGATTTTTAAAATTTTTCCTATATATTTCTATGTAAAACTTTGATCCTCCATTGTGGCCCCGCCCTACCCTCAGGGGTCATGATTTGAACAAATTTGAATTTTTACTACCTGAGGATGCTTCCATATAAATATGACTAATCATGGCTTTGCTGTTCTTGAGAAGAAGATTTTTTAAAGATTTTTCCTATACATTTCTATGTAAAACTTTGATCCTCCATTGTGGCCCTGCCCTACCCTCGGGGGTCATGATTTGAACAAACTTGAATCTTCACTGCTTGAGGATGCTTCCATATAAATATGACTCATCATGGCTTTGCTGTTCTTGAGAAGAAGATTTTTAAAGGTTTTTCCTATTTATTTCTATGTAAAACTTTGATCCTCAATTGTGGCCCCGCCCTACCCCCGGGTGTCATGATTTGAACAAACTTGAATCTACACTACCTGAGGATGCTTTCATATAAATATGACCAATTAGGGCTTTGCTGTTCTTGAGAAGAAGATTTTTAAAGATTTTTCCTATATATTTCTATGTAAAACTTTGATCCTCCATTGTGGCCCCGCCCTACCCCCGGGGGTCATGATTTGAACAAATTTGAATTTTTACTACCTGAGCATGCTTCTATATAAATATGACTCATCATGGCTTTGCTGTTCTTGAGAAGAAGATTTTTAAAGGTTTTTCCTATATATTTCTATGTAAAACTTTGATCCTCCATTGTGGCCCCACCCTACCCCCGGGGGTCATGATTTGAACAAACTTGAATCTACACTACCTGAGAATGCTTCCACATGAGTTTCATCTTCCCTGGCTCTGTTGTTCTTGACAAGAAGATTTTTAAAAGATGCTATTAATTTTTCACTAATTCTTTATTATCTCCCCTTGAAAGAGGGCATGGCCCTTCATTTGAACAAACCTGAATCCCCTTCACCCAAGGATACTTTGTGGCAAGTTTGGTTGAAATCGGCTCAGTGGTTCTTGAGAAGAAGATGAAAATGTGAAAAGTTTACGACAACAACGACGCCGACGACGCCGACGCCGACAGACAACGGACAAATTTTGATCAGAAAAGCTCACTTGAGCCTTTGGCTCAGGTGAGCTAAAAACTACATAACCAAACATGCTTTTGTGAACTAATAAAATACACATTTTGAGAATAAATACATTGTTACTTAAAAACGGAGCAAACAAAGATATGGAAATAAATGTATATTTACTCAACAAACTAGAAATATGATGAATTTTACAATTTCATTTTGGTGTTTTATATTAACGAATAATAAATTACCATATATATATTTCACTTGATCCCTCATCCACCAATAACAACCTTAATTTCACTAGGTTTGTTGTGAATTAGGTTTTAATGAAACGTTTATTGAGGTTTTTTTAGCCATTGGCATGTTAGTTATTTTTCAAACTCCTCATTTTTCAAAATGCTTAAACATTTAAAATTGAGTTTTAATCGGGATAATTTTCCAATCTCTCGAAAGTAGAAAATGCGTTGCTTTTGATAATTTTCTTGCGCTCTTCAGGAAATGCTAAAAGATGTTAGTACTATGTGTGCTTGTTTAGTATTTCAAGCAAAAAAAGTCTATTTAGTTTGTATATCAATGTTGCCCTGTAACCGTCCTGATTCAAACCCAAATAAAGACACTAAGGGAAGATCGGACCTTTCTCAACAACTTATAAAAATATGTGGAAGGATTTCTAGCAAGATGGATGCTCATTTTCAAAAAGAAAAAAAAGGTTTTCTTTAAAACAGTTAAACACAACATGCCTTATTGCAATAAGACTGTAATTCATGAAAAAAGAAGCAAACCAGTACTACAAAGAACATTTTTTTAAAAATGCAAAATTTTTCTTTTCTTGTGCCTGATATATACACATTTAAGTTTTTATAGGAAATTAAAGAGAAATAAGCAGATACAAATATTTTTTCCAGCGCGGATTTAATGTCCTCCCATTAATATTTCCTAAATAGCCCTGGTTATTATGAAACATTTTTCATCTGATTCCTATGTACATGTAGTTATGTCTGATAAAATGTCATTTGAACCCTGAGCCCTCACAAAATAAACATTATATAGATTGTATAGAACATGAATTAGGTTTTTGTTTTTGTATTTGTTTAACGTCCCTCTCGAGAACTTTTCACTCATATGGTGGAGAGCTGCAAATTTTTGTCCTATACTCGGCACTTACGGCCATTGAGCAGTGAGGGATCTTTTTCGTGCCAGCACCTACTGCGACACGGGACCTCGGTTTATACGGTCTCATCCGAAGGACCGGTCTCCACGTCCCACAGTGGGATTCGAACCCACGACGTAAGGATCAACTCCTTACTTCGCTACTCAAGAGCAGACGCTCTAACCACTGCGCCACGCGGGTGACACATGATAAGGTAGTATATCTTTAATAACAAATAGTACAATCTATATTTTGTATATTAACAAATAAAAAGTAAACTTGCCCCTGGAGTGGCATTCCACTTAGAGTTGAGATAAATCTTTGTTTCAGTAACTATGAATCTTTCTCCGGTGCTCCAGGTAAGATTGACACAGGTGCAGGAAGACGTTACTCTAGAGGTAACGTCTGTTGGTGGGCTAAGTCGCACTTAAGAAAGTAAAATTATATAATTATGTTTATACTAAATTCAATTTTGTCTCTCGAAAAAGGTTTTAACGACTCGATTCTGTTTGTTCTTGAGACAAATGAATATAAAACAAGTTTGAAATTGACAATGGAAATCCTTAAAGACTTTTTTTAAAAAAAAAACGTTCTTTTTTTTTTGTTTGTTTGTTTGTTTTGTTTTGTTTTGTTTTTTTGTTTGTTTTTTTTACGTATGTATATTGCAATATCTACGATTATTCTCCTTGCGCTCAACCAAAAGTCAAATTTTGTAACAAGTGAAAATTTAACAAGTATACAATTATCCTGGGCTTAACCTAGTACTAATGAGAACAATTGTCATTTATTTATCGTCAAATTTGTACAATAAAGCTGTTCGTCTCATATACTTACGTATTTTTTGATTACGGAAGTCATAGAAAAATGACTTTGTGAACTTGAATTCCGTGTTAGTGATTGTCAAATTGATAAATATTGTAATGGCATATATGTCCCCGTCACCTTGACTCCAAGTGCAGCTCTCTTGTGGCAATTTTTCAGGGCAGTCTATGAAATGGACACCGTAATCAAAGGACCTATGAAATTTAAACATCTTTATTAAATCTGAAGTGATTACTGTAAAGTAGAATTTGAAGAAGAGAGTGGAGAAAGACATGTTTCTTTAAAATAAATTAATTTCAAGCTACATTAGTAAAAATAATTTTAAGATTCTTAAGATTTTACTTTTGATAGAAATATACCTATTATACAAAACAACATTTGAAAACATATACTGGATATAAGTTCCTAGAAAAGAATGATTGATGTGACTAAGAAACTTACACAGAGGCCATGATACTCAAATATTCTTCATGATTGTATGTCCCTAATTTCCACCTGCACTGCAGTTCGTCTTTGTCTTTATCTACCATGCAGGTAAAGTTAGTTACGTTACGTATAGCTTCATCTATATTGAAAAAAATAAATACGTGTTTTTTTTCCTCATTTATTCTCTTTTAACTTAACGACATAAAAATAATCTTTGCAGATTCTACAAAACATTTGTAGTAAATTTCAAACATGCAATAATGATAATTTTGGAAATTACTTGAGTTGATAGCATTTATCTACAATGCTGAAACTTCCATTCCATGATACACGTAGGTACAAGTGTAGAAGATTTACAGTAAATAAAGACCCTTCATTATACAATAGGTAGTTTATTAAATATGTAAACACACGTCATTTCCTGTTTACTTGAAAAATGGATGTATGTAAGATCTAGTAAGGATTTGAAGAATTTGAAATATCTCCAGAGATATCATACTAGAAACCTACAGGAAGAAGAAACCCATTCACAACAATACGTACACTTTCGAGTGACATGAATTTGAAAAAAAAATTACATGTGTCTGAATCCCCATAGTATGCACTCAAATTAAACTCGATGCGTAGATTTTCATGTTATATTAGCATATTATTGATTACCACAAACTGCAACCATCTTCTAGGCTTCTAGCTTAAGTTTAATGAAAATATCTTTTATCTTGCAATTCTGTTGATATTTTAATTTATTTACCACTTACACTCTACAACAACGTTTGTGCGTGGAGTCCTTGACATTTGCTTTTCACTAGTACTTCTACAAAGGTAAGTGCCCTCTTCCGATACGTTGGTGACATATTTTCTCAACTGAAGTGTATTGTTGCCTATAATGAGCGTATTTTTGAGTGGGGCTTTTCCTTCAGGTGTTTCCCAATACAATGATGAAATATTCATTCCAGCATTAATGGTGCAGTTCAATTCCAATGTTCCATTCAAAACAATTTTGCTTGTAGATGGAGTTATGTCTTGAAAAGGAGATGAAGGATATTAAATTAAACCAAAGTAATTATCATTTTTCCTTTAAAGTTTTTAATTAAGAGAATATAAACGAGTGTAAAATAACATTTCCAGAAATATTAAAATCTGAATTTAAAGAAAATAAAACTATTCAAAGGAAATTACAAAAAAAAAGTTATAAATAGTTTTATTTATTTTATTAATTAAATGATCTATTTATCTTATCATTGAAAAAGAAATACACTCATAATAAAATTGGTACCTACCTCCAAAAAATTCTGAGATTAGAGTCTCTTGAAATATAGTAGGGCCAAATAACCCTACAGTTATGTAGATCATATACCAGTTCATCATTTTCGCTTTTAAGCTTTCGCTAAAATGTTTGCTCTTTAACCGTCATTACCACTGCAACCAGATACAGCTAATTTCATCTAACTGAAAATTAATATCGTTGAACACCATTGTAACAAACTCCTGGGTGCTAATAAGTGTTTTATGCTATAGTCTTTGCTATTCATTACATCCGTATATTAATGTTAAATTTTGTAAAGCGAATTCGTAATATAAGAGTGTTGTCCATGTAGATCACCATTTTGAAAATTTTATTTTTAATAAAAACTATGTTACATGTATTATTGTTCATATATGTTTTTAATCATTTTTTTTATTGTGAAAATTTAAATAGAAACTCAAACTGATAAATTGAATATTTAAGACTTTGATGAGGATGGATCTGGACCCGTAGCATTTAAAATCGCCAAAGGTTCGATTTGTTAACTTCAATATACTTTCCTCTGTAAAGCATAAGATATTGCGCTTAAATTCCTTTAAAAGGTGCACTATGGCATAAGTAAGTAGTCCTACCTCATAAAAGAAAAATCAAAATTTTTAAACATTCAAACATGTCTCTGAAATTCATTCAAGAACCATTAATTATGCCAAGCTGATTGTTTAAAAATGTTTCAAATTAAATGCTTAGAGTAGCCTTAATAACGTTTTGTATGAGCATGGTTTCCTTCTAATTGTTTAAAGTCAGCATTTCTTTACTTTTATGGTCGTCAGACCTTGTTAGCAAATATAACCTATCATTGGATCTTATTTTGGCTGACGTGTTTCATACCAATTGTAAAGCCTTTTTTTAATACTGAATTTGACTACGGAATGTTCCGTCTATTTGATCAATACATAGGGATCCCGGCGGGTATGACTAGTTAGCAGGAGATGCTTACTCCTCCTAGGCACCTGATCCCACCTCTAGAATTTCCAGGTTTCTGTCTTTTAGACCTATTTACAGAATGGCATTGTTTATAGAATTTTTTTTTAGGTCTATCACTGTTCGTTATCTTCATCTTGTCATTCCTTCTGATAACTATTATAAATATTCATTGAAGTATTCAATATAAATTTTTAGATAGAATGACATTTCTAATAGCTGAACCCAGAGACACTGTTCATTTTATATAACAAATCAGAAAATAGTATGAAAAATGGAAAGTCCTTAATAGTTTGTCATATTAACGTTGTACATTTGTTCTTTGGTACTTTTGCTCTTTCAAATATTTTTCCCGGCAAAATAAACTCTTGAGACACATGAATTTATCAACTGGAAATGAATAATTTTATGCTACTTGCATTTAAGATTTGCTCACAGAATTGAAAAAAAGAACTTTTCATTTTGGATTGATTGATTGTTGATTGTTCAACGCCGAGTCGGCAGTATTTTAGCCATGTTTCGGCGGATTTTTCATTTTGGAAAACGACAGTATAATATACGTATAATACACTCTCAGTCAAAGAATAATACACATAAATTAGTAAATAGATTTTTAAATAATAGAAAATCAGATTTTCCATCCAAAGCTAATTGGAAGCTGAGGAAGTCTGATAAAAAAAATAGATACAGATTCAAATAACTGTTAACGTATTCTTTCCTGATAGGTTTACCATTCCCCTACTCATCAGCTATGATACAGACTTTACCAATTAAGTAATTAACTTATTTGAACAAATTTCCATTTTGCACACATTTTTTTTTCTTTACCCGAATTTCAAATGTGTGCAAAACGGGAAAAAACTATTTTGCCCTTTACATAACTTCTTACCATGATGTGAGAAAACTTCACCGTGTCAACTCCTATCGTGACAGGAACCTCGGATTTTAAGGTCTCATCCGAAAGACCCGTGACTTTCACTTCACCGGAAGTTCGGCAAAGGAACAGTGTATACTAATGTAAAATGTCTGAGGTTTGACGCGGCTCCTGGAAGGAGAACCAAATCCGGGACATCCCGATAAGAAAGTGAGCGCCCTACCACTAGGCGACCGCGACAAATCCTCACTTTTTGATGAAATTTTGATTGGCAATGAAAAATGTGCATAGAGTTATTATTTCTAATCAAATAAGGACGCTCTCTATTTTAGTGAAGGAGCTGTGGAAATGGCATTATACTTTCCACAAAACAATCATAAGTCGGATACATAATAAAAAATAAAATAAAATGCATATGCTCGGGAAAAATCATGATTTTGTCCAATTTGAACTACCAATTTAATTGCACTTTCCTTAGATTGAGTTGAACGCATTACTTTTTTTTTATTTTTTATTTTTTTTTTTATTTTATTTATTATTATTATTTTTTTATTTTTTATTTTTATTTTTATTTTCTTTTTTTTTTTTTAAAAAAATTCGGTAACTGCTTTTACATGCTCTAGGAATTTTATTCTGTGACCTGGTTCATCAATCTTATTGAACAGTAATATTAGGTTTAGTCTAAAAATATAGGATTTGTGGCCTGTTAATATTGTTGGTACATGAAAAAATGATGTTCCAAAATCATTTGAATTGTAATATATAAATCATATAAATTGTCTGATGACATGCAATATTTCATTAAATATTTCTTTGTTAGCAATCCTAAATGTGCAGATTTATGAGTTTGTTTGATAACTGGTAAAGGATGTCTTGTTAACTTAAAGTAAATATACTAACAGATATATATGATTTACTATAAGATGATTTATTCAATTCTAAAAACAAAAAGAAACAAGGCAGTGATCACAAAAGTTCCCCGTTTGAAAGGAAGCCGATATAAGCCGGATAAGGCAATTGAATAAAGCGCTTTTATGCTCACGGAAATTACCAATAATGAATCATGTTTCAGCTACTGTTAATATTGTTAAAGATGCCAAGGAGTAGCAAAGTGTAATCTGTTTTAATGTTTTCATTCACCACTTTCATCGTTCTAATATCAATGGCTAAATCTTATTATTTTAAAAATATTGCTTTGACCTAAATTTCACATTTCTTTCGGTATACTTTTGAATCTTGCTGATATATATATATATATATATATATATATATATATATATATATATATATATATATATATATATATATATATATATATATATATATATATATATATATATATATAAATAGAGGAGTAACAGTGTTACAACATTAAAATCTAATATAGTAATTTAAAAAAGACTTTCAAAGTTGTATATGATAAGATATGTTAATGATAAAATATGTTTCTTCTTTTCCCAGAAAAGTATAAAAGTCAAGAAATAAATTTATTATAAACATCAGTATGTTATGTTTTCAAACCTTTCAAACCTACACACAGTTAATCTTTTTCCAAATACTGTGATTATATAGAAAATAATTCAGTAAAAAAGATTCTGTAAAAAAAAAACTTGTAGAAAAAAGATGTATGTGCTTTCTCAGTTTTCTTAAAATGATCCTTTTACAAAGTAGGTTTATTTTTACCTTAAATTTGGTCGACACCAGAGAACTTGGTATGTATTCGGTATTTCGATTGATTGATTAATTGTTGTATTACGTTCCTTTCGAAATCTTTTCACTCATATAAGACGGATATTTCGACATGATACAGATGCAAACATGCCTACTCCCGAATCAAAAGGTTTTGAATTCATACGATACATCATATAAATCCTGTTGTGTTCACCACAGGAAGTGGGCTCATATGCCCTAAAAAACTTGTTTGAGATGTCATGATTATTCATAATATTTGGAACATCTTACGTCACAAGGACTTCAAAGTGAATAAGCGAAGTGTAAAAATTATTGGCACAATTTGTTTTCCGTATCAAATGTTCAGTTGATATATTGTTAATACCTATATGAAAGCTTGAATCTACACTCTATGAAGAGCATAAAAGTTGTGACCTCATTTAACATATAGTTTTAAGTATGAAAAAAGAAATAGTGATTATCTTTTATTGCTTTATCTATTTTTTTTTTTCAATAAAATAAACATGCTGAAACTAGCTTCTTGAAGTTTGATAAACACCATATAATGTAAGGTTACATTTTGGCGAAGGCAATATAATTTTATGTATTATGAAAGAATAAGATCTTTTATACTTTATTTTGGTCATACAAAAAAGAAAATGCCCTTTTAAAATTGATTTTTTTGTAAGTTTTTTGGGGGGACTTTTTCTTTGTTCAATTCATAAAATGAAGGTATTTTTTATATTTCCAAAAAAGGACCAAACGCATTAAAAATGAAATACAGAGATAACGAACAGTAAACAAGCTCAAAAGTACATTGAAACAATACAAATCCTGAACAAAGCTAACACGGACCCCTAAAAATATAAGAGGGTGGGATCAGGTACCGTGCAGGAATAAGCATCCCCTGTCGACCAGTCACACCCACGGTGTGCTCATTGCCATGATCAGGCAAACGGACAAATCTGTAGACCATTCAGTGTTTAAATAATGGCCTAACAATTAGTATGAAAAACGTCAGTCAGCATTCGACTAAATGATAGATTGTGTTTGCTGACAAGGTCATGGTATCGACCATAGTACTTACGAAATGGTGACTTTAAACGAGACTGTTGATATCCTTGTTTCAACAACTTGTTTGTCAATAGCTTGTCTCGTTCTAGAAATTGTTCATACGTGGAGCATACTCTTGCTTATCGAATCAGCATGGAGATATAAACCGCATATACAGGTGATTAGGTTTATTGTTTCATAAGTAAGTGAAGTTGAAGATAGAAAAGTTGAAATCATCACGTTTATCGTAAAGTTTTTTTTTTAGGTTACCATTAAAGTTTTTTTTCTAATAAACTATCCAAATATCCCATTCGATGATTTTAATTCAAGGATCTATGAAAACCAAAATATCAATGGATAATTTATTAAGTAAATAATATAAGCCGTCAAGATTATTTTTTAATATCATATTTTAAAACTCGTTGCAAGAAAGCAAATACAAAATTTCATAGTCGGTCAGTTGTCATTCTCAATTAATGGAACAAACGACTTAAAATCTGTATCTACTGATGAGAAAGTTATAATAGACTAGATTACTTAGTGCTTCTTAGCTATGTTCTTACAATTAGCGATCGTACAAAAAACGGAATTCAAGCGTTTCATGCACGCTAGGGCTTTTTAAAAAGATAATGAAAATGTTGTTTGGACATTGAAAAGATCAAACTTTTAAAGTGGTAAAAATAAATCTATCGATTTCATTTTTAGCACAAGTCTTTTATCCAAGGTAAAAAAAAAAAAAAGAATTAAAGACGGCAAAGTTTTGACGAACAAAAAGTACGTTTCTTTCCTAAAATGAGGGGAAATGAATCTAATGTAAATCATATACGGTACCAATTTTGATGTACCAGATGCGCTAAATAAAATGATAAAGTAATTAACATTGACCAAATGATTATAAATTGAGTTATACAATTTAGACTTCAGTTTATTATATTTCATAATCCAAAGATAGAAGCTAAGTTTACAACAGCCTCAGAACTCTTAAGTTTGCAGTATATAGGGAAGATATATAGTATATAGGGAAGTTCTTGGAGAAGTTAAATATAGTCAGTATTACAATTAAATATATACGATAACGAACAGTAATAAAGATCAAATTTCCTTCGGAACAATACAAAGAGCAGAGAAAACAAGGACCTCTAAAAGCATTAGTGGTGGGATCAGATGTCATGGAGGAGTAAGCATTCCCTGACGACCGGTCACACCTGTCGTGTGCTCCTTGTCATGATCGAGAAAACGGAAAAATTTCGTAAATTCAGTGTGAAAACAATCATGGCCTCACAATTTGTATGATAAACGTCAGTCAACATTACTTAACGATAGATTATATCATTGTATTCACCATAGAATTTGCAAAATGTTGACTTTAATAGAGACTGTTGATATCCTTGTAAAATCAACTTAAATAGTTAAACGGTGGTCATCTCGTATGACTTCCAGTTAGTGATGGGCCGATTGTCGCCGACGATCGATTGTCGGTCGTTAGGAGCTCTTCGATGCTACTAATCGATTACAAAATAAATGTTGCCGACATCGCTGACAAAAAAATAATATTGTAATACTTTAATTTTATTACCAAATCCACGTGCAAAGAGTTTTAAAGTAGTGATGAATGTTTAAAATATCGAAGGTATCCTTTTCCGCCATGATTGATTATAGGGTCAGACTAATAACAGAAAAACGGACAATATTAAGAGGTTTACTACCGTATACATAAGAAAATATTAATAGTACAGACGATCCGTAAACGTTATTAAAATCAGGAATACAGGTCCAAATTCTGGATAACTACTTTTTAAACTTGTAATTCCAAGAAATAAATAAATGTAATGCAAGGTGGGATTAATATCAGTAATATTCCCCCATTCAATATTTTTGATGAGAATTTTTTGTAAAATAAATTCCCATTCAATAAATTTTTTTAAAGTAAAGAAATCCTTTTTTCCACTTCAATAAAGGAAAAAATGAATAAACATATATGAAATATGATTAATTAAATGATTTTTTTTTTTTGGGGGGGGGGGGAATCTGAACTTAAATCTGAATAAGTTTAACTTTTTTATATTTATTTCATTTAAGTTAAAGATTCGATTATAATCGATTATTAATCGATTATGTGCAGCCGATTATTACCGATAATCGATTATGATTTTTTTCCGATTTCCCATCACTACTTCCAGTCCTTCCAGTCTGTCTTCATTTTTGTTTGTCTATTAAACGACTTTTCTATAGTATAACCGGTCAAGCCCCCATCAAACCTCTTCAGTTAGGTTTTAATCTGTGCCCGAGACATATGTTTAGCAG